CAAATTTTTATTATCGCGATGCAATAAAGAATGATGAGGCTTTTTACAAATATTACAAAATTTTCGGCTCTGACAGAAATTGCGATTATGCTTACCTAAACAGTTGAAGCATCGTGAATTAGCCTTTAAATATTCAAAACGTTCATCAATTGTTTTTTCTTTAAATACAGAACAAGCATAGAGGTTATGTTCTCCGTTACACATTGGACATACAAACTTTGTTGAGTTTTGATGCGTGTGTACCTTCTTGAGTACCGACTGCGAATGATTTGAATTTTTACTTTCAGGACGCTTTTTAATATCTACGGTAGCTTCTAAAGCGCTAATTCGAGAATCAAAAATTTAACAAATTGATCGAGAGAGGTAGGATCTGTCTCTTCACTAATTGACAATTCCCACTGATCACGAGAAATTTTATCTAACTTGTTTATTAACATAAAAACTAACAAATCATTCCCCTCATCGATAGGACGTTTTAGACTTTTTAAAGCAGATGTCGCAGTAATAACAACGTTATGCATAGTTTTTAAATTATTCAACCAATCTGATGTGACAGGTGGCAATTCAACAATCTTTTTTAAATATTCATATATTAAAACTTTAGAATTACTATAACGAGTTTCGAGATTTTCCCAAATATTCTGAAAATTGCCATCTGTCCCTGGTTGATTTTGAGCAACTATTAATGCCTCACCTTTAAGAGATGATTTGAGATAATGAAGACGCTCTGCATCCGACAAGCGATCGTAGTCAATTACAAGAGATTTAAACAGATCTCTAAAGGTGAGCCACTCACAATACGAACCTGAGAAAGTGGGTATAGTAATGCGAGGAAGTTTTACAGATGAAGATGCTCTTCGTGGCGTTGCATCTGGATCTGGTGGTTGAGGACGGTCTTGTACCAGCATGGGCGGTGGCTCTGGAAGACTGCTAAGTATGTGGTCTATGGCCTCCTCATACAAGTCCTCAATCTGATTAAACTCATCAGAATTAAAAATTGCAATTGTTGGCTCTCCTCCTTCGGCTTGATCAGGAGGATCTATTATTGGAGGATTTGCAAGTAAATCGGCATGATTTTGTCGACACCTCAGCCAGAAATCTTGTAAATTTGTTAGGCGTCCTAACAACAGTTGTCGAGGTGGATTTTCGTAATTTAAAACACGATTAACAATCTTTTTGATAGAGTTAAATAGAGTTTCTTGGTCACTTAACACTCGTTCATAACTAGTCGTGGCCATGTTTGTTACAGAAAAAATGGCCGACCACGCTACGTAAAATATAGTGAAAAATGTTTCATGAAAAAAGGTTTTCGATACTGAGAAAAAAGGTAAAATAGCACCAAAATATTGCGGAAAAAACACAATAAAGTCTTAAAAAAAGTACTTTTTGACTATTCAAGTCACTTGAGAAAATAAAAAATGCAATATATAAAGGAAAAATCCCTTAAGCGTCACTTAACACAAAGCACTGATTTCACTTTCTTTCTTCCTTTTTGGGAATCCGGCTCGAAGGACAATGTTATGAATTTAAGCGGTTTAATATAAAAGACTTGTGAAAAAAGGAAAATAAGATAGTTAAAGTAAAATTAACACTGAATTTATTAATTTATTTGAGATAAAACAGGTAAAGCGATTTTTACAGAGCGGTTGTAAATGATGCGTACGAAAGACAATCAGAATATATATTATGCTCAGATACCAATGCATACGACGCACACAAGTTGTCCCTCTGTGGGCAAACTAAGGAATCATCCTTGATTTAAAAAAAACCGCGAAATAAAATTTGAAATAAAAGTAAATGAAATGCCATGAAATCGTAAACAACAATCAATGTTTCTTTTGCTTCTGTCAGAATTTCAGTAACTGGCTATTGATTAGGATTTTAAAGAGGGTGAAATGAATTCAACGTATTAAGAAAATTTGTTTTATGGAAAGTGGTAGCAGTCTATAACCAATTTGCTTATTCAACAAGTAAATGCATATTTTGGGTACCATCAATGGTTTTTTGCTTCTATCAGAATTTTATTAACTAGCGATTGATAAGGGAATTAAACAGGGTACAATAAATATAGTCAGAAGATTAATAGAATTTTTATTACTGAAAATTGTAGCAGTCTATAAACAATTTGCTTATTCAACAAATAAATACATACTTTGGGTACCACCATTGTCTCATTTGCTTCTATCAGAGTTTTACGAACTATCAATTAATTAATGAAATATACAAAGTAAAATGAATATGGTCTGAAGATTATTAGAACTTTTGTTACTGAAAGTAGTAGCCGAATCTAACAATTTATATAAGTCAACCATTACATGCAAACTTTGAGTACCATCAATGTTTCTTTTGCTTTTATCTGAATTTTAGTATCAAGCGATTGTTAATGTAATTAACAACTATTAATTACGGAACTTAACAGGTAAAATGAATATGGTCAAATGATTATTAGAACTTTTGTTACTAACAGTAGTGGCCGAATCTAACAATTTATATAAGTCAACCCTTAAATGCATACTTTAAGTACCATCAATGTTTCTTTTGATTTTAACTGAATTTTAGTAACTTTTGATTGATTAGAGCATTAGTCAGGGTAAAATGATTATAGTCAGAAGATTATTAGAATTTTTGTAACTGAAAGTAGTAGACGAATATAAACAATTTACATAAGTCAACCATTAAATGCATACTTTGAGTACCATCAATGTCACTTTTGCTTCTATCAGAATTTTAGTAACTCGCGCTTAATTAGGAAATTAAACAGGTAAAATGAATATGGTCAGAAGATTATTAGAACTTTTGTTACTAAAAGTAGTAGCCGAATATAAACAATATATATAAGTCATCCATTAAATGCATACAGTACCGTCCGAAATTGTGCCAACTCTGCTTTTTCAACAACTATAAAATTGTTCAAATCTTCAAAAATATTAAAACTAAAATTTTTTCCTCTTTATTTTATTAAAGCTAATAAAATTCTAAAAGAAATGACACCTTGACAAAGAGAATATGTTAATTTTTCAATTAGATATCTAAGAAAAACCCAATTTTCAATGTTTTTACTATTTTTTTTATTTCTCTGGCAAAAATTAATATTTTTAAACGTTCTTAGGCTTATTGAAATCGTATTTTGTTATGCAATTCAAATTATATAAAACAATTCATGTACACATTCTTCCCTAGCGTATGCAAACCGTGAAATTTGGCTCATAAAATGTCAAAAAATTTAAATTTAATTATACAATAAAATATAATGTTTTAAAATCAAGTAAATATATAATTCTAAACTTCTCTGATTTATGTAAATAAATTTAAGATTTATACATTTTACTGATCATTTTTTGTCATATAAATATTAATCACAATTTTTTGACATTTTATGAGCCAACTTTCACGGTTTGCATACGCTAGGGAAGAATGTGTACATGAATTGTTTTATATAATTTGAATTGCATAACAAAATACGATTTCAATGAGCCTAAGAACGTTTAAAAATATTAATTTTTGCCAGAGAAATAAAAAAAATAGTAAAAACATTGAAAATTGGGTTTTTCTTAGATATCTAATTGAAATATTAACATATTCTCTTTGTCAAGGTGTCATTTCTTTCAGACTTTTATTAGCTTTAATAAAATAAAGAGGAAAAAATTTTAGTTATAATATTTTTGAAGATTTGAACAGTTTTATAGTTGTTGAAAAAGCAGAGTTCGCACAATTTCGGACGGTAGTGTACTTTAAGTACCATCAATTTTTTTTAAAATTCTATTAGAAATTTTCTTACCATCGGTTGTTAATGTAATTAACAGGATGTAATGAGTAAGAATATAAGTTATTCAGAAAATTTGCTTTACGGAAAATAGTAGCAGTCTATAAACAATTTTTCAATCAAGTTTAATAAAATCACAATTTAAAAATTCATTCACATTTTTCTTTTCCTTTACAATAAATTACGCATACGCACAATTTTAAATAATACTTTAATCTTTCTGGTTTTTTACTAATTCGTCCGCTTTTCGTCGTTACAATTTTATCTAAACCAGAATGATCATCATTTAAATTAACACTCTCAATGCTCTTATTGGAATTTTCTTTTGCTTCCAATAAGTTGTCCATTCGCTCGATCAACGGCACGCATTCGTTTAAATGCCTGAGAAATTCATCGCTCGCAGATAATTCTAACGAGTAAATTCTCTGTACTGGTCGTTTGAATAACCCATTTTTTGTTTTAATTAAACAAACTCTAACTTGTCCGTCACGACCCTCGATAATTTCATCAATTCGCCCGAGAGGCCAATCCATCCTTTTCTGGTTATCGCTACCAATCAAAACAACATCTCCTGTTTTGATTTTTCGCGTCTCTTTCTTACCGCCTCGTAACAACAGCTGACTCAAATACTCGACTCGAAAACGTTCTCTCAGATCTTTCAAAGTCTGTTGTCGGTGTCTCAATTTTTTATTTAATTTTTCTTTAGAGAGCACATCTAAATCTGGAACTCCTATTTCTCGCGTTTCTTGTAAAAACATCGACGGACTGAGTGTTTTTAAATCGTTCGCATCGTCCGAAACGTAAGTTAAGGGTCGCCAATTTATGATTGCTTTTGCATCGCACAGAGCAGTCGTTAAGCTTTCATAAAAGAGAGAAGCTCTGCCCAGAACCTTTTTCAATATGGTTTTCATAACCCCCACCAACCTCCCCACCAAGGAGCTGCTGTCGGATTAAAATGCCATTCGATTTCCAGCGCTGAAATATATCTACAAATTTTCTCCCACTTTATAGTTTTCAACGCGTTAGCTTTTCCACAAAAATTCATTCCATTGTCACTATATATATTTTGAGGCCTCCCCCATCTTGCGATAAATCGTCGAAGACATTCTATGAATTCTTCTGTTGATAGGGAAGATGCAAGTTCCAAATGAACCGCTCGGTACACGGCGCACGGGAAAATACAAATCCAGCCCTTTTTCCACCTTTTATAAAAACTGGTCCCTCAAAATCTATCCCTGTTGACTCAAACGCTACCGCGTGTCAGACTCGATTTGTTGGAAGGGGAGGGGATTCACATTCAACGCGCTTGACTTTTTGCTGTTGACATACGACGCAACTAGACGTAATAGTTATGATTTGTCGCAGCGAGATTATCCAGAATTTTTCCCTCAAGGTATTCATTACAACTTGTGTCTCCATATGACCACATCTTTCATGTGTCTCGAATTAATAAATTTACAATGTCATGTGTATCTAAAACTATCGAACATAAGAACAAATTAGAATCGTCGCGATTAACTATTCCGGTTTTGAGAATGATTAGGCCTTCATCATTTCTCAAAGTCCTGAATGACGACAATTTGTCTTTACCCGGTCTATCAAACATGACTTTTTGCAAATGTTTAAGCAAATTTCTTTCTGCTTCTTTAATTTCTCGAAAAGACTTTTTCCTTCAACCAACGTATGTGGTATTTGTGAGATTTCTTTATTTTCTCGCCATTGTTCTAAAATTGCTCTTCGATTTCGTAAAAATCTACGCATCCAGGCAATAAATCTCACGAGCATTGTAAAGGAGGAAAACAATGTACTCGCTTTTAAATCCAACTCTTTCGTGGCTATCGTATTCACTATAGCGCTTTTCTTGATTTCACTACCGATCTCCCCCTCATTAACACTATTCTCCCCGGAAGGCCAGTTAATTTTGCTCTCGCGCAACCAACCTGGCCCCTCCCACCACTTGGAATCTCGTAACTGGGAAGGAGAACACCCGCGTGATGGCAAATCAACAGGGTTCATACTACTCGGTACGTATTTCCAATCATTGACGTCGCTCAAGGTTCTAATTTCTTTAAATCGATTTTGTACGAATGTTCCCCACTGCGTATCTCGCTTCAGATAAGCCAAAACAGTGGTGCAATCGGACCAAAAATTGATCTTTTCGATAGGACGAGTCAAAGATTTTGCGATTGAATTCACGAGCCTAGCAGTTATTGATGCCGCCATTAACTATAGACGAGGTATTGAGGATTTTTCAGGTGCTATTCGACTTATGCTTATTAGACTTAGCGCCCAACAATTGAACTCCTATTGAATTTTCAGTAACAATACGCGCGAATACAACTGCAGCAAAAGCTAGTTTGCTAGCATCTCCGAAAGCGTGTAACGACAAACTTCCTTCCCCAATTTCTCGACTGATTTCAATCTCTTTTGTTAATGGCATATCCATCACATCAGGATTAATTTAAATCGTGTCTTTACTCTTATTCCAAAAAATTCCTAAAACAAGTGCTACTTTATTTTCCGAAATTTCTCCTGAATTTTCCCATCCACGCAATTCAAACCCACCCGCAGCCATGACAGCAGTGGCTTCTTTCCTAAAAACTTGCAATTCTTCTAAAGAATCTACGCTTGTTACGCAGTTATCCACGTATAATGAATCTTTCAATTTTTTAACTGATTTTTGCGTCCTTAAAATTCATCGCCAGATTGCACTTTTTGCAGAGATCGATTTAGTAGCAACGCAATAACCGCTGATAACAAAAAAGGACTACTGGATAGACCAAACACTACGCGGCAATGACAGAACACAACGATTTTTCCATCTACTTCCCACAGAAAACACAAGTGATCTCTGTCAGACTCATTAACTTCAACTTGCAAAAACGCGCCTTTTATATCTGAGATAACGCCCACTTTTCTCTCTCGAAATCTATTTAACGCGGACGGGACAAATTCCATTAGATAGGGACCTTTTTCTAAACAATCATTTAATGATGGATGCCCTTTTTTCTTAGCTGATGTGTCAAATGCCGGTCTAATTTTTGTTGTACTGTTCATTTTTATGACAGGTAGGTGTGAAAGGTAATGGCCTATATGGGAAACATCTTTTTCGGAAATTTTCTCAATTATGTTTTCTGCTAACCACGTTTCAAAAACTTCGCTATAAGCACGAAGTAAACCTGGATTATACAATTTCTTTACAGTCTTTACTAAACGTTGACGTGCGATGTAGAAATTCGTTGGTATATATAATTCTCCTTCCACGGTAATCTAACTTGGTACCGCCTTTAGGCACGGTGTGCCTTAACCAGACTCAACCCAAAAGTCTTTGCTCAGTAAAAAGTCTTTTTTCTCGTGAAAGTATATGGAAAATAGAAACTTTTCTCACAAAAATCGAAAAGAAGTTTATTATTGTATTACAGTATCAGACGTGGATCCAGGGGGCACATATACATGCCCCCCCACAAAAAAACATAGTGGGTAGTTTAGGGGTTAAAACCTCCACCCCCGTGAAATTTTGAATTTCTTTGACAAATCTAAGCAAACATAAAATCTTTTCTGAAACTTTTTTTTTCTTACACCCCTGAAACAAACAAATGAACTTATAATAATTATCAATTATAATATAATTGATAGTTTCAATAATAACTATCAAGGCCTCGATGGCTCTGCGGTTAGTGCGTTAGGTTCGTAATATGCGTTTAGCGTTAAGTTAGGGTCTTAGAATCTCGGCGTCGGTTAGGATTTTTTAAAATATGCGAGTTGTGCGTTCAATTGCGTTTAAGGCAGGGGAAAAAATCATGTATGTGGAATCTACAGAAATTAAAAAGTAACACTAATTTAAACTTAATAAATTTTTTTTTATATTATTTTTTTAATTTAATGATGGAATCCAATATTGGATCGAGGTTAAATTTCAGTATCGGGCCAATGTCGAATTCCAATGTTGTAACAGTGTAGGAAAATAGTATCGGTCCGATCTTACATTCCAACACCTTTCGATACCGAAACAGTACCGAATATCAGGATCGAGACGACATTGGTATGTCGAAATCCGACATCGGTCCGATACTGATCCGGTATCAGAACCCTTCTTGGGTTCATATTGTATGCGAGTGTGAATTAAGAAAATATTAAAAATGTCTAAAGATCATGGGTTTACGCATGCACTGTATAAAGTATTAAAGAATTTTAACTGTTTGAAAGAGGGAGCGATTATAACCCACTTTTAATGTATCACTTTTACTTAACCCATATAGGAACGAACAAACTGTTCGACTAGTCAAACACTAGTTTTTACATTGCAAATAAAATATTAGAATATCATACATTATTATGCAACTACATTTTTAACATCGACAAGTAGTTTACTTTCAAATTTTTAAAGAACAAAAATTAATAAACAATTACAATAATTATTCCACTTACATTTGTAAGTGCGACTGGAATTGTAGTGTTCGACTAGTGGAACAGCTGTCCGATATGGGTTAAACAAATGATTGTACCATATTAAAAATATCAATATTCCTTGATTTGGTAAAAAGAAAATTCCCACCTTCCAGATAATTGCTATTTTAAACACGGTAAGTTTACGTTCGGCAATAAGAATTTTCCCATCTGCTGTAATGTCTCAGTCATTAGTTTTTTTGCTACATTAAAAGTTAGTACTATTATTACCTACATTGAAAGTGTTAAAATCATCGGAGATTTGATAATTATTTAGAATGGGAAAATTACAAAATTCTATGTTTTTCATTTTAGATTCTGTATTTTTGCCGCATTATAAGAACTGCTATTACCAACGATTTTGTAGATTAAAATCTCTATCAGTGATAGTGAAAAAAAATTCAGGAAAATTCCCTTATGACTTTTTACAGTGAGATGAAAGTCGTTTAAAAGTGAATTTATTATGCTTTTGCAAGATATTGCCGCTTTTTCGCTTTTTTGCCGCTAGGTGGCTACCTCTGAACACGTTTTCGCTTGTTGCTCAGTATACTTTTTTAAATAAATTTTTTCGAGTTTGGTTCGGCTTGAGTGTTTTCGGTCAATCTGGTTGTTGGTTTTGGTGCCTACAATTTGTTACTGTTTTTATTTATTTTGTCTTCCTCTTAATCATTGAGGACCGTGCTTATATTTTACTAACCTCAAAATTGACTTTGATATAAAATGTGTGACTCGAAATTAAATAGTGGTGATAAATTTTGTGTTCGTTGTGGCAAAAGAGTTGTAGATGCTATTAAAGAGTGCATTGGTTGTCATGCTCCGTACCACTCCTCATGTGCATCCCGGTCATTGCTGTTAGAAAATGGTTCTTTTTCGCGATGTTGTGGTCCACCACGTGCGAATTCACCCAACAGTCTTGATGTCCCCCCCCCTCATCTTCTCAAGTGCAAACTGCAGTTACTGCATCTGATATTGAGCGAATAGTGAATTCAATTTTGTATAACTATGTTGTGGGCGGTGAACAATTGAGTAGGGTTTCCAACCTGAGTGACTTGGGGGTCACTTTTTCATCTAATCTAAGGTTTGATACTCATATTGCTAATACTGTTAACGCGGCACTTAAAGTGTTTGGCTCAATCCAAAGAAATGCGTGTCATTTTAAGAACATAGTGGTCTTAAAGTCATTATTTTTTGCTTTAGCCAGATCAAAATTAGAATTTGCAATAGCAATATGGGTCCCATACCAAGAGTACCAATTATTAAAACTAGAGCGTGTTCAAAATAAATTTCTTCGTTTTGCAGCAAGACAAGTTGGTGTATATTACAACATACTCAGTCACGATTATACAGATTTAAGAAATAAACTAATGGTTCCAAAATTCTACGACAGAATTATTTTTTTGGACCTACTATTATTGTTCAAAATTATTAACGGATTAATCGATTGTCCATCAATATTGTCAAAAAT